TTTCACTTTAACAATTCGGCGTATCATAGTGTTCCTGTTTGTCTCAAATGGCTGTTTTCGCTAATTATCCGTTTATTGATCACTTGATCCACCTTCGCGTCCCACGTTCTCAAAATAGGTGGCTCCAAGTTCTCATTCAGCGTCTGAATATCTGTACAAGTTCTTCAGGTTCATTCCTCAGTCTTTCTGCTTATATGAAATGTTCACCCCAAAGATTGAAAATAGGGCTCGTCCTCGGACATGCTGACTCCTTACCCCCGGGCATCATCTGGTTGATCAATTGGATACTATGCATGCGGTGTCTGTGACTTCCAGCCAATAATCTATCAAGGACCCTAACTGTTGTCTCCATGATTTATTTGCTCGATTCGTTACATGCTCTCTGGTTCATCTCTGTGGTACGTGTGGGGTATGCGGCTTCCGTCATCTAATTTGCCACTTAATCAACGTATCAAAAAGAGACGATTTCGCGGTGTCATGATGTCTCGAGTTTCCAATGAGTTGATCAGCTTCATTGATCTTTCAAAAGGGTATCAACCACAGTCTCCTCGATCATTCCACTTGCAAGTGCAAGCTCCTTATTTATGGTTCTTCGTTTTCTCGCTCTCTCAAAAAGAATACACTGCCTAATAGAGACTATAAGTATTGATCTTCCTTATTGAATACCGACGTGGTCTCAGTCCTCAAATTGGTGATTCTCCCACGGATTGTACGCGAATCCAGGATGTTACTAATATTTGTTAGATATTCGCCCTCATGGCCTATTCAGTTTCGGCTTCTACTTCGCACGACTCTACACCCCCAAAGGGTACCATGGCTTAGCCGATTTGTTTACATGTGGAGTAGACTAGGTATCAACAATCTGCTGCCGAGGTCAGATGGATTCTCTGGCTCATCCCTTTATTCGTACATTCGGTGTCTACGGCCTGTATCTGTCAATTTCACCATTAACCACTGCCTCGAAAGAAGGCGAGTTCTTCTGACCTCTAGGCTCCGGCGGCTCAACCTTCCACGCGCCGTGTTGACTCATATTTTCTGCGACTTCCGTCTATAATTTCACAATGAACAGTCATGCCAAAGGAGACTACTTCTCCCACCACCCAGCACCCTATCTCCCAAGACATTTCCCGTTAACATGAATCATTCGCCTTATGATTGGATAGTCTGCCTCGTCGATATATTGCCTCCGGTATATGTGGCCCACCTTGTAAAAGAGTAAAAGAAGTTACATTCTCATGATTCTCAGAACTCAACTTATTTTCCCCCGACAGCATTTGTTCCGGTCATCACCTAAAATGACCCTTTCGGAGTATCCGTTTACTGGTCTATTGGAAGCCTGGCGTCGATTAGGCTCACTGAACGGTCGCGCAAGCGTTGATAGGACCATTGTATATTCGTCGAGAACAGAAGACGGAAATATGGTTCGGGTTACAGGATGACTATCGTTATGTAATATATAGTAAGGTTTATAGCTACTGGCAAAAGACGCCGAGAAGCCGGCAATGATAATGGTGCATGCGGAATACTGGGGGACCAGGATTACATCTATCCACCTTCTCAACAGCTGATCAAACAGCCTTTCCGCCAAGTATAGACTCCTCGTCATTCTCCGGCTTAAGACTGATTCAAAAAGGATCTTCTATAGTAAGCAACCTAGCCCACGTTTCCTTTATTGGGCTCTCACCCCATTCGCATCCGGCGCCTCACCGCTTCCAAAAAGCTTCCTCGTCCGTCCGTCCGTCCGTCCGTCCCTCGTCTTCTAACCGGATCAAAAAGGATGTTCCCAATAATATGCAACACCTGCCATCCACGTGTTTATACGATTCGATTTACAGACAGATCAATTACAAATTATTGCGCCCGAACGAATATCTCAGCAACTATGCCTGGGTGCTCCCCAAAGGAATTTGTAATTTGCAATAACTCCGACTTCTTCGACTTCTTCGCATGACCGCAAGTCCGATGATTCACACCCCAAAAGCGTATGAAGGCTTCTTTACTATTCGGGGGAACACTTCTTCATAAACACCATGTCATTTACTCTTTGTTTACTAATATTGCTAGGTACTGAATTATTTTAATAATGACTATCGTCAATTTATTCCCTGTGGTTGTGCAGGACGTTTGACCTTCCAATATTGTCTACCCACAATTCAACATCTCATTAATTAAAACAGCGCTTTCCACCTATAAAAATAAACTCGACGTTTCCAACATCACTCTCCGCCTCCTTACTCCGATATTTCGCGGTCTGTAATATTTACATCCTCGCTCTCATCTTCTCCAACGTATTTGCCAAATCATCCTTATCGGCCTGTCGTGACGGCCAATTTTCATCTATGTTTAAGACCAAACCTTCTTTCTCGTTCGGTTTGGGAATAACGTGGAAATGGACGTGATCGACGTGCTGAAGAGAAGGAATACGAATAAGCGAAAGTGAAACGAGGCACGAAGATGGAACGTACTTGGAATGCTAGTTTCCCGTTATTCTATATTTCTTTAGGGCACGGAACAAGAAGCTAAAAATATGGAAAATAATAAACGCACCTGTAAAATATTATACTGCTCCGCTCCCGTAGCCAAAGCAACTTGCTTAACAGCCGGTCCAATCGCAGCGAGGTATTCATCCGGAAGATCACCAATCGTCTTTGCGTGGTCTAAGTATTCCAACTGAGCGATCCAAAAGGTTGAAATATGCATAGGACGAACATTTGGGTATCACCTGCGTATGTCCTTCCGAAACAGGGCTGATGTCGAGGAAGGCCAAGCTATACGTAGCCAATGATTAGCAGGTACATGTTTGAGTTCCAGAAGGAGTCAACAAGTGGTGTCGTACACGTGATCATTCTCCAGCACTTTGAAGCTTGGTATCTTGCCTACACAGTCCGACCATAATCAGACACACATTCAAACGAATGTTCGTAGTATCGGAGTACCCACCTTGAACGATCAGGCAGAATATACATCTGCATCAAGGAGGTCAGAAGAAGAGGCCGAGCATCATTCCAAGTGTGAAATTACTTGTCATCTACAGCAGCAGCCATCAGATACGTCGATGAGAATTGTCTGCAAGGTTTTGGGCACGGAGAGAAAGTAGTTGAAAGGACGACACCGCCAACCGGTATATCAGCCCGATCAGTGAGATAACCCCGCATCGATTAGATAAATTAGATAAGCTTCCTTATCCGGTATAAGGCCGGGATGGACGATAACGCAAAATAAACGGTTTCTGCCTGTTATTCGTGTTAGATGATGATAAGAGATTAAAATAGTAGTATATATTTAGTTATCGAGTACCTATTATAGTAGCTGTGCCCAGTCCGCGGATTATGAATACTTAGGCCTCAAGTGGGCCTTCAAAGCAATTTCAATCTAGGAGACTTATTCGAATCGATAAGAAACCGCCTTAGAAATAAATATGCTTCAGAATAGAAAGCCACCGGATAAGGCTTGACAGTATTAAATATCTGGTCATGATTCTTCTTCGCCGATCATATTTTTATCCTACGTGGCCTGCATACTACTGCATGTTTAAGGAGAACGATAAATTTGGTAACAGGTTAGTGGAACAATTATTTTCGTTAGGCGTCTCCAGAGCGTGAAACTAGCCCGCAACCTGTTTGCCTCTGAGCGCCAAAAAGGCCATACTGTAACCGTTAGGCCACAGACACTTATAGCAGAATAGTTCCCGAGTGCTAGTACAGGACATAGCACATAAGTCTGCAAATAATTCCGGCCTTGCTGCTTCCTTTGGAGAACTATTTTTCCAATAACTATAATAAATATCTAGCTTTATTGAGAGGTTTATGTTAACTAGAAAGACATATTTTATATCTATTCATTTATGTAGCCCGGGAAGTAACATTATGCATGCTAAAGTTTGTATTGCAGAAAGCTCACTCTGTAGAGGTTAAATAATCGATTTTTTAACGAAAACGTATATGGTTAATCTATGTAACTTGACTCAGCTTGGTCAGGACTGGCATAGAACTACCCAGGCTCTGATCCGGGTCTGATAAAGTACTCTTGAATTTATTGCATTTTAGAACTTCATTAGATAGACCTAATATTACTAGATTTATATCGAAATATATATACTCTATTTTATTGAACTTGATTCTGCCGTGTCAGACCAGGTCAGCTATGTGCCAATCTGGTCAGAGCCTGATCAGGACTGGATCAGCTACGTGCCGCTCTGATCCTGTCTGGTCAGAGTCTGATCAGAACTGGGTCAGCTATATGACGATCTAGTCAGGCTCTGACTCGAGTCTGATCATGCCATAAGACATGGTCAGATAAATTGGATTTCTGCGACATAATACTCCCTCCACACACATCTAAGTACTTAGTCCTTCGATACTGAGAAATCACTAATAAGAATATTTGGTTTATAGGCATAAATAACAAATTAGAAGAAATCACAATGTCAATCCGGTAGCCAGAGGAAGATATTCGAAAGGGGTTAGTAAACAGAAGTGCCGGTCACCCACCGGATCACCCACGTCCTTAGTCAGCCCCTTCTACCAGGCATCAAGTTACCCGATTAGCTAGCCCGCATCGACCTCAAAATCTACGATACTGGGAGAGATTATCCAGACTTGAACCGCAATGTTGTATCTCCGGATCCGTCAAAATATGCATGCGCGAGTCTTATGACCAAGTCACTGATTTAAAGTCGATAGATATATCTATGGGCCCAGGTTAAGTACTGCTATCGTCGAATCGACGGTGACTCAGCTTTTTTTAGCAATGTCCGCAGTACAATGTGGCAATGTAGTGAATGAATTATGTTGTATGTGGACTGTTCTTGACTGTATATGAAATTGGAGCATTACGCGTTTCCACGGCAAGACCTACCATTAGGACCTATAAAACCCGTTCCATTTTTGGGAGACAGTATGACCGAGTGGTTAAGGTGTCAGATTTTGATATTACATTATCTGATGCAGTATGTGCGCGCAGGTTCAAGCCATCATACTGAGCCTGTTCTATATTTAGGAGACAGTATGACCGAGTGGTTAAGGTGTCAGATTTGAATATCACATTATCTGATGCACTATGTGCGCGCAGGTTCAAACCCTGCTACTGTCGGTCATTTTTGTCGCCACTGCTGTTTCGTTTCGGTTCCTCCCTTTAACGAGTCACATATATAATTCCCAGTTTACGTCCACCTTGAAGATGTAATGGATATCCAAGTCACTTTTATTCAAATCCGCTGTATTTTAAGACATTGAGGCTAGAGCGTTTGGAACAGGCCACTCATGTCTTTTCAGTTTGTCTTTACCATTAATCTTCCGCAATTAGGACAACTTAAAACAAGCTCCTTAACCGAAAGTGATGTCCCCTCACCTGGCAAGGTTCATTATAAAGTTCAAACCCCAAAGTTGTGTAAATATAAATTCATGACTTCCTCCTCGCGGCGGGATTCCAGAGGCTATGTGCCGAATGCATTGGGAATAATAACTTATGAGCAACAAGGTTTGAAAGGTTAGCGCTTACCTATATATCATTCTCATGAATTATCTTCGGGACCCCCGGGGTCAGAAATGATGTCAAAGACTGGAGCACGTCCAGAACTCAAAACTTCTAGTTCTACGCCGTTTACGAACTTTATACTTCAATAAACTCATCTTCATATTGTTCCTGTCTCCGCAGCACTGGAACCAAACAACGTTCGCCCCCGCGTAGCGACCCGGCAGAAGGAGATATTGGCGTAAAATGACAGAAGTCAAGAAGGGGAAATCGGCAGTCGAGCGACTCGGCAGAAGAGATATTGGCATAAAAGGACAGAAGTCGAGAAGGGGAAATCGGCAGTCGCGTTAACTTTGAGACGAGGAGCAAGCCACGTGGGAATGGAATCAAGTACTTGGTTGCGGTATACAAGCTACGCCGATGGCCAAGGCCTGTGCGTACCAAAGCTTGACGAATCGGAGAGAATATGGAGTGTGGTATGCCTAGAAGGTAGCTGGGCTTCGAAAGTGGTAAATAACGGAAATAATGATGTGTCGTGTGACGCTCCGGTTGAGATCCCTTCCCCTGACCCATTCCAGCCGAATGTTTACGGCGAGATCCATGAAATAAAACTTTATCATGTCATCGTGTCGGATTTCACGTTCAGGGAGGACGGTACTTACAGCCACCTGTATTCTAGCCTCTTAATTGGCAATTAAACATAGGAACCGAAGGAAGCCAATATTGCTGGAAGTGCCGAAGGGGTCTCTTCAGAGCAAATGAAACATTGGGGATTGTACGTAAGGGGGCATGGCAAAAGAACCCATCAAGAGCCTCTCCGCAAGGACAACGTTAAAATAGATTGCATAGTAGCGAGCAGTGAGGATAGGTTGATAAAAATGGTCAGCGAGTGAATAGCCATGTGGTATGGCGGAATTTTGCGGATTCTTCTCCAATGTACCCATGATCAGTATAAAGCTGCATATGCTAGGGAGTGAGCTGGTGGTAACGATAAATGGTGATAATAAACTCACAAAGCATTAGCAGGTGCAGCGGCTCGTACACAGAAAACGCGTCAGCTTCGTATACATTAACCCAATGCAATGGCGAGGCATAAAAAACCGTCAGCTCGTATAACTTGACCCAATGGAAATGCGAGGCATTCCTTATGTGTCGTCAGACACGTTATTACTGTAACAGCCACGATGGATTACCGATATGCATTCGGGAAATCAACAAATGCTCGTGTATAAATCTTCTACTAAGCTTCTCGAGTCGCCAAACGTTATTAGCTTCGGCGTTTGAATCCTCGATAAACGCTATCATTAAGAGAGAGATAGGCCACTCTTGAGATTTGTTGTTGTACAAGGCGCTGTAATGGTAATACGATCAAACGTCAATGCACAAGCGGATCAAAAAAAGTGCAACGAATATCCCTACAGTGCGCTATATCACCTATATTCATCCTTGAGTGGCCTAAATATTCCGCTATTCGTTAAGTAATTCTTGAGTAACGGCAGAGGAAAAAGAGGCCGTCTATTCTGAGCTTCCGCTTGAGGATTCGTGTCAGGATACGTGTAAAGGTATGCGAGATCAGAATATCCTCTGCTTTGAGTATGACCAGTCGAGAGTTCTTTCTTCTAGGATTTCATGCCATCACAGTCAAGTTCAAGTGTCGGCTCAATTAGCGGAGTCTGAAAAGAGTGGGAATTGCGGAGATCTGGAAGAATCCAGAAACTAGGCGACGCGGAACATTTTGAAACGAACCCGATTAAGTCTGACATTCAAATTCACGTCTTGTTCCTTCTCATGCATGTGCCCAATGTGAAGAACCCTTGCATGAACCCTGCAATAGCCTCTCTGGTGTACTCGAATGACCCCGCTTTGCCAGGCGCAGTTTGGTAAGTATATACTCGTTGTTGCATTCCATCATTTTCAATAAACAAACTAATGGCACAGGTTTACGAACTTTGCATTGACTGTAACCTCGTGGACTTCCAATTATAGGACTACTTATTTGCTTATTACCGTATCATTGACATGGCTGACTCTAACCTTTTCGGATGCTCTGATATTGCGCCATTCAAGTGTCTCCGTGTCGCATCTTTTGGCAAATGCAACTCATCCCTTCGACGGCGGCCTCAATTTGCTGTCAAAACCGAAACATTACCCTTTTTGATCCGGCGATCATTAATCTGTCGAACAAGCTTTGCCATGCAGATCCTTAAAACTTGGTAAAGCTTTTACTCTGATTAATAAACATAAAACTAACAATCATACCCATCAGCTGGAAGGCAACAACTCGCCCTCAATCGATTGCTTCTTCCCCAATATCGTGAGAAAACGATTTAGCCTAAAATCACGTGCAAATGACGCCGCCACACCAGAATAGTTCAGCGAGGAGATCAGCAGCTCACCGGCCAAACATATCGCTTCGTAGGCAAACTTTGCCCCAACTTCTTCCCCTGGCGCGTCAAGCTCGAGACGTAATCGGAAAACAAGCCATTTTAAAACTACGGGTTGATATACGTTGATAATCTCTACAGATACAGTACAGCCCCCTGCGGGCTACAGAGCGCTAGACCGGTACCACCATGCTCCTTTTTGGGTGAAAGAACCAGGCACTCCGATCAGCAGAACGTGCTGTTTGCGTTATAACTCTTTCCGTGATACCATCAGGCACTACCCTGGCCTCGCGTTTGGTGATACTGGCGTCCTGCACAAGGAGTTGAATTATGCAGATCGCCGGGCATAGTTCCACTGAGGGATAGAAGCGTGTTTATCACCGGTCCGTCCGTCATGTACGAGGCAGGTTTCGGCCCACGTAGAGGGCCCACGGAGCGCTGGAACTGTTTACTGCATTAGGAACCACGAGCTTCCGTGTCGCAAGCGAAAATTGGGTTCTCTGCCGTGCTCGCGTAGTTGCTTTGGCCAAGGTAGTTATTTCCTTTATAACATGGCTTAGGCTGTCTATGAGAAGCTTTCCCTAATATCCTTCAAAACACCACTTTCGACCTCTCACTCTGTATCCTCCTCAGCTCTAACTCACTATGCATCTACGACTCTCAGATCTACATTCGGATATCCTTACGAATATTGCCGTCTACACAATCATTCCAGACAGCGGACTTCATCCTACACTACGAGACCTCGGCAGCTTGGTCTGTTTACGCCTTGTCTGCCGATGTCTCTCCATATCTCTCTCTATTGAGGAAAATCCGACCCTGTATGCACGTATATTCCACCTAATGTGGGACGTCGAACCCATCAAACGTCGATTCGGTCGGCGTTCGACTCGATCGTCCACCTTGGCTTTGGAATTGGGCCTCCGATTCTCCCTTCTCAAAAGCCTATCTACGTTCCTCGTTCATCTCCAGAAAGACGAGGCTAGTATCCAATGGCCCTCCTGCGCCGTTCTTGCCGCACTCTTCTTGTGGCTGGCCGAGAATGACGGCAAGAACGGCTACCAGATCCGCGATATTCTTGGTACATCCGGTGTCGCAAACGTTTGCTTCTCTTTCTTGTCTAGGAAGTGCGACTTCCCAATAGCACCAAGTCATGACGCTCCCGATCCCTATATGGCAATAATTATGGCGCTCATGTGGATTAATACACCAGGTACGTGCCAGCCTTGCTTGACTCTCGTGTATGCCTTTAACGTACCCCATAGATTCAGCAATGTATGACAGTGTCGAATGCACCGAAAAGCTATTCGACTACTTGGAGCCAATTGTGACCCAAAAAGAGTCGGTAAATGTATAACTCCGAGCCATCCGACGTCCGACTTGGCTTACCCATATTGAACTTAATTCTTATCAGGAGCAATGCCAAATTCACCTCGACTATTTTGGTACGCAATGCCGGGTAAACCTATTATCAGCCATTCACTTTGCCCGCCTGTGCATTGTCCAACGGTATCACGCCGTCCGACGAAGGTGTGTACTCCTTTAAAAGTCGGAACGTCTCAATATCGACGTCCGCCACCTATTTAGGATAGCTCCTTCGGCAGTGGATCATCCGAGACCAGATTGGACGTGCAGCACGCGCTTCGACGCAGACGTGCAAAGAATGCTCTACTCCGCTCAGCCTGATGACCCTTCTAGCGACGTCGTCTCTCGCAAGAACGTTCCATTCGAAGATATGCCCATCAACAGGTTCAATACTGGGTTTGACGGCGCTTTCTATGTGAGTACGAACCCGCTTTCGTTTAATTAAGTTTAACGATCCTTCTCCCAGGTTGTGTGTTCTGATCCTTCATCCCCTCTGGTCATGGTCTCCCGTCGAATGCCATTTCAAGTACGTGCCTATATACCTGCAGATATCAAGCAGCAAGTTCCCTTCGTGGACGATGACGACGACGACCTTATTCGGGCGTGGTTCAATGAAGACGTGCAAATTATGGAGCGTTCGGTGAGTTTCTTCCTATCCCCCGATTAAGGAATCCAGAACTATATAGCTTACATGACGCACAGAAATCGTTATTGATATATGATCCTTCGGTGGCGCGTGCCTCGAAGTACATTCCATGGTCCCATAACACTGGTAAGGATTAATGGTTCCTCCGGTACCGCAGCTGAGCAATTTACTAGGTGTTTCCGATATTATACTGATTGGCGAGGTAGGTTGCAGAGAAGCATCTT